GTTTGGGCTTATTTTGTTTGATTTGACAAGCCTAACACGTTAGAATTCTTACTTTGCTACTACTGTCTACACTAAAAAGGGAAAAATAAAAACTTTTTAACAAAAAAATAAAAACCGACTTCAAACAAAAGCACTAAAAAGTAAAAAATAACTGATTGGTAGTTTTCATTTACTATACATACCTAATCAAATATTTTCGAAGTCGGTGTGCTTTGGCTAAGTAATTAAAGCCTACCTATTAAATACATACCTAATCAAATATTTTCGAAATCGGTGCCAGCCCATACAAAGCAAAGCACACCGACTTCAAAAATATTGTAAAAAAAGAAATAAGCTGAAATAAATGTTAAAATATTTGTATTTATAAAATTGTTATATATTTAAAATGGATGTCTTCACATTAAATGTTTACTTCCTTCTTTATTTAATTTCCTTTTCCTATTGGCCTTTAGATCGGATATTCCGGACGTTTGTTTTTATTCAATATCGTAACTGCAAGAAGGATAAACAATACAAGAAATAGCTTTTCAAATTTCTAAAATTAAAAAAAAAATTGAGAACTATAGGCACAACACTAGCGACTTACCCTTTTAATATTAACCATTACTTTTAGCAAATTTTAACAATCACACACACGCGCGCACACTCACAGGCACACACAGGCACACACATACCCGCACACACGCACACACATGCGCGCACACATGCACACGCACTCACGCGCACGCACACACGCGCGCGCACACACGCACACACACATATACCTGTAACTCAAAATTTTGTATTTGTAAAAGTCTGATTATATTATATGTATAAAGAGATTTGATTGTACAGTATTATAACATACGTATATTTTCTGAGGTGACCGCTTATCTAGCAATTAATTACAGCAAGGACAAAAGTAACATAAATCACACACATACACTTTATCTAATTATTTTTATTTCTAAAGTTTTATTCAAAAGTATCGCATACAATCTTATGATCTCTAAGCGTTTACGTCACGAGCACTCGTGGAATGATAGCAAAACAATAGGCCGGTTTTGATGCGGTTGTAGATAAATGTCGTATTCATATTTTAGGTGGATTTAGTTTAAGTTATTACCTAATTAAACGATAACAAATTAACTAAAAATCGCGAAACAAATAATTTTCAAAACATATTTTTATTAAGGAGGAAAATTAGCGAAAATGGTTGTTAATCAACTTTAAATCATTATATAACCTGAACTGTTATTTACAATGAACAATACGTGTTATACCTTTTTAAATTCCTTGCTATGAGCTCTTTAATTTGATACCCATATATCAGAACTTTTTCCGAAAGATAAAAAAACACCTTAAACAATGAAATCTAGCAGCAGCTATATTTGTTTTATGTCACCTATCTAAGAACACTTAGACTAACGAGACGAATTTAACGATATCTTAATTAAAGAAATCCATCGAGTATTTTGGAAGATATGAGGGAATAAATAATATTATAAGCAAACATACAAAGATAGGCGTGAAAAACATAACCCTTTCCATGCAGTCGGGTAAAAAAAGGACTAATAAAAATTTTAAACCTGATAGCGTAACAAACGAACTAAAAAGATAGGTATGTATACTAGACAAGTGGACAAAGGAACATAGTATTATTGCAGTCAGAGACATATTTAGGTACGTTTAAACATGTTAGATACGTCATGTTGCGAGTCTTGCTACGTAAAAGTTACATCTACATATATAATATAATGCCTATTGCGCATATCTCTTAAGTAAAATAATTATGTTAATTTATTCTAATTATGTTCTTGGCATCGGATTTTTTTTAGTTAAATATTTAAGACTAAGATATGAATTGATGATAAGATAATATGATTTTTTATTAAAGGTGTCTTTAAACGTATTATGCATACATGATACAATGTACGTAATTTTTGTTATTAAAAAAATTAACTGCTTAAGAAGGCAAAGTCCGTGGGAACCATGAACAATGAACAATACACATTTGTTGCATATAATAAAAAAAATTCTAATTCAAAAATACTTAATTTACAGATTCGACTCAGAATTTTATTTTGTACCTATATGTACAGATAAAGATAGATTATACTTCAAAATATTCTTACAAATTCTAAACGAAATATATTTCACAAGTAAACAAGTGAGGAGTCCAATATTTAAGCATACCAAATAAAATTTTATTATGAAAAATCATCCAAGAGAAGAACAAATACAAAATGCAAATTAACTTACATTCTATGTAAAGGGAGCCGTCAAATGTATTGTACCCTAATAGTTCTAACGAGGGGACCTACCCCTGTTCTGTCCTTGTGGCACCCTCGCGCATAGAGTAGATGTGTGACAGAGATCGTATCTCAGATATATCTGGACGTTATTTAATCTGTAATTAAGATTTTTTTATTAAGAGAAAATAATAAAAAGTTAAAAAAAATTAAAACAACCCGACTGCATAAAAAGCGATTTTAGCGATATTATGCAGTCTTTGGGTTTACTACTTTTTTACCACCCCTGACACACGCCCAAAAAACAAAAAAAGAATTTTTCTAATCGGTCCAGCCGTTTTTGAGTTTTAGCAAGACTAAGGAACGGCAATTGATTTATATATATATATCTATATATATATATATATATATATATATATATATATTATATATATATATATATATATACATATATATATATATATATATATATATATATAGATTATTTATATTTTGTAATCGCCACGTAAAAACCTGTATTCTATCCTACTCGATTTATTCGGATAATATTTTTTTTCAAGACACACAAATTGGATCCTAGAATCCGCTATTTTGATATTTAATGATATCTATATACCCTATAAAACTCGCGTTCTATAGACAAATCGAATAACGTATGAATCATTAAAATCGGTTAGTATTTAGTAATTACGAGGGAAAATAGGATTGGACATACATACATACCTTTTTTTTATTTTTTAACGTTAGGAAATGCATTTACGCACGAGGTGTGGGACTCACCGGCAAAACCAGTACTACCCACTAAAACCCAACAAAACCTTCCCCAGTCTTAATAGGGCGTCGCAGGATCGCTTACGCATTCAACTACGACACCCCGACGGTAGGTCTGCAGCAGACCACCACAACCACGGGGTTGCTCCAAGGTCCACTCTGCTATCAGAGAAGTACCAGGAGCAACCCGCTTGGTATACCGCCCTCCGAAGAGGGCCACCTCCCACCGCCCACCGAAGTGGGCCACCTCCCTGTGCGTTTCTTGGCTTTGCGCCCGGCTGGATTGCCGGGCACTTCTGAGCAACCACGACAAGGTGAACGTACGTTGGGGGGGACATACACACATACCTACAGGTCAAACGCATAACCCTCTTTTGGCTTTCGCAATAGTCGGGTAATAATTATTCGTCAATATTCATACTAATAAATATATAATAATAATATTTTTATATAAAAAATAAAACAATGTTATAAATTAAGTAATTAGTCTTAAAGCGTTGAGAAGTTAAAATGAATAGAAATAAAAACATTATAGTACGAGTATGTATGATTAAAATATTATATTATAATATAAGATTAATCATATTAAAACTTTTTGCTTCTCTCAAACACTAAAGTCTACAACTGGCCAGTGATAAATTTAAAATTGACATAATTATTTAATTTCAATACTTTTAAATATAGAACAGGTAACAATAGATCCAAGCGGCCCATCGGACGGGCGCTGATTCGCGACTTTTTTTTTCAAAATTTTTGTCTCCACCAAATTTTTGTAAAACGTTATATATTTACACGTTTTATATATTTATTTTTACGTCTGTGTTGTCTAAATTTTAAGTATACATAATGGTAAGTGTTCGTATGGTTAAAAATTAGCCCGTATTTTATATTTCATCTTATATACATAAGACATCCTACGATATATCGTACATAGTTCTCATAGAGCATATAATAATTTATATACATAAACTATATGGTACATACAAGTTTACATTAGTGCTTCACGTTTTTTTTAAGTAAATATGTTCAATAGAAAGTAGAGTTTAAAATCAATAGCAAGACAACAAGACAACATCAGCAAAGTGGATTTTTTTCTAGTGAAACAGATATGAACAAGATTCCAACACGGTTTTTGTTTAATCAAAAAGATTTGTCCATTGTTCAAAAGACAGAGTTCATTACTTATCAAACTAAAAGATAATAACTTGCGCTGATTTTTTAATCACTTGAATTTTGAATTTTGTGACTGTTATACAATATTTCCATAGTTTGTAAATCGATCTATTATTACCGTTTCTTGAAGGCTATGCCTTAAATAGTTAAATCGGTAAACTTTAAGATCTAAGATTATAGAATTCGGTTTTATTTTTGTCCTAAAATATAACATATTAGTGAATTAAGCTCGCTTAGTACCTTTTTTTTTTTAACGTTGGGAAATGCATTTACGCACGACGTGTGGGACTCACCGGCGTAATACAACCAGGACTACCCACTAAAACCCAACAAAACCTTCCCCCGTCTTAATGGGGCGTCGCAGGATCGCTTACGCATTCAACTACGACGCCCCGACGGCAGGTCTGCCAAAGCAGACCACCACAACCATGGGGTTGCTCCAAGGTCCACTCTGCTATCAGAGAAGTACCAGGAGCAACTCGCAAGGCACACCGCCCCCCGAAGAGGGCCACCTCCCACCGCCCACCGAAGTGGGCAACCTCCCTGTGCGTTTCTTAGCTTCGCTACTACTACTGAGCCCCCCCCCACCACGACAAGGTGAACGCACGTTGGGGGGGAAGCTCGCTTAGTACCTAATAATTATCTGTGTAACTCTAAATCATAGCCTATCGTGTCTACTAAATTTCATCCTAATCCGTCCAGCAGTTTGTGTAGGAGTAACAAACATACACATAGATACAAACTGTCTCATTTGTTAAAGTGTTCCGAATATATATTTTTCAGAGGGAATGCATATCTGTCCATGTAGGGCAAGCGGGGGTACAAATGGGAGTGGCCTGCTGGCAACTTTATTGCCTAGAGCATGGTATAAGACCTGACGGTACACTACCACTGTGTAACTCTGATCCAAATCCAACTGATTCTTGTTTCAACACATTCTTTTTTGAAGCTAACAGGGGCAAGATGGTACCGAGGGTTGTAATGGTGGATCTAGAAGAGACTGTTATCGGTTAGCAATAAATTTTATATAGTAATTTATTAAAAACTAGTGACTCACCCTCGCTCTGCTCGGGTTCGTCCCTACTTACGTTTTAACGTTTAGTATAGATTTCTCAGAGATGAAATATTTTCCCGCAGTAAATAGTATCCTATATGTTGACTCGGAACCAGCTATCATCAAACCAAATTTCATCGAAATCCCTCCACTAGTTTTTCCGTGATGCGATAATAGACAGACAGACAGACAAAAATTCTAAAAAGTATAGATTCGGCCTCTGTATCGATAATAATGTCTATTTCAATAAGATTTTTCAAAAAATATTTAATGTACAGATTCGGCTTGGTTACAATTTTATTACATGTATAAATGTATGCCTGTGTGTGCAATAAATATAAAAAAAATATACTTTAAGCTACTTTTTCTAAGTTTTATAGTTAGTCTTCCTGTATTAGTAATACATATTATATCTAGCTGATACTGTTTTCTACGTTAGAGTAGTGGACTCAATTCGATCGAAGAATTAGTTATATTTATTATATAGGTAAACTTATATTCCGAGAATTATTTTTATTTGACATTATTAAATTTGGTTCAAAACAAGACGTTTGTTAATGACACATATAAAGACAATGACATGTTAATTTTGTGATTTAAATTAATATATTATAGACGAAGTGCGGTCCGGAGAGTATCGCCAGCTCTACCATCCAGAACAACTTATAACTGGTAAAGAGGACGCTGCCAACAACTATGCTAGAGGTCACTATTCTACAGGCCGAGAAGTGCTGGAGCCAGTGATGGACCGGATCAGGAAGATAGCTGATCAATGTACGGGACTACAAGTAAGTCTGGGTTGTTGTATATATTATATACATAACTAGCAACTCACCCTCGCTTCGCGCGGGTTTGTCCCTGGGTGGTTTTAACGTAGGTTGTATTATAACGTATTTTCCCGTGGGAATGAGATAATCTCCCGCTTTGAAAAGTAGCCTATGTCACTCTCCAGCCCTCTAACTATTCGACACAAAAAATTTCACCAATCCCTTACTCAGTTTTACGTGAAATAAGGACAAACAAACAAACACACTTGCATATTTATAATATAACTATGTAAGTAACTTGTCCTATAGCTTATGTCTGAAACTACTCATCTAAGCCTACACTTTTTCAAAATTCAACAACAATGTGGGATTCCCATAATATTTGAGTACTTTCGGAGAGTACTATTGACTGGTTTATCAACGCATAGGCCATCGCCCTTAAGGCTAGAAAATTGAAATTTCGCACACGTATTCCTCATATAACGAACGCATCCACTAAGGAAGGATTTTTCAAAATTCAACCGCCAAGGGGAATAGGGGATGGGAGGGGATAAGTTTGTATGAAACTTAATTCCTTGGACATATTTGCATGAAATTTCGTATGAATTGAGTACGGCAAAACTAATGAGTTACATATTTCACGTTTTCTAAAATTAAACTCTTAAGAGAGTAAAATAGAGGTGAAAGTTTTAATGAAACCCACTTTTTATTTGTTTTTTTTTTTGTTGTTCTATCGCGAGCGAAGCCGCGGGTTCTACTAGTTAATAATAAAAGAGTTTATTGCTCTTTTTCATTGCCACGATATATTATGGTCGAATATCATGAAAGCCACGACACTCATGCGCAATGGAATTATATGACGAAATGTGGACTTTTTACTCGATCTTTTTTTTTGTATAACAAAACTTAGTACTGAAGTACATTTATTTTTATATTTTGAATGATCTGTAGGGTTTCTTCGTGTTCCACTCGTGCGGAGGTGGCACGGGCTCCGGCTTCACTTCCTTGTTGATGGAGAAACTGTCTGAAGAGTTTGGAAAGAAAAGTAAATTGGAATTTGCAATTTACCCAGCACCACAGGTAAGAGTTTCTTTTTAAACATAATATACTCGAGATCTATCTTATTATATTACATTTTTCTTTTATTATAAACTATTTGCATAAAAATAAATAAAATATAAACCTTACAAACAAAAACAAACAATAAAAAAGTTAGAAAAATTCATCGAAATTCATTGTAAGTTAGTCAATCAGTTCGTACAATTAATTTGATGTTTAGGCATACTTTTACTAATACTAATACTTTTACTAATATTATAAATGTAAAGTTTGTGAGTTTATGACGTTTTGGGGGGTAATCTCTGGATCTACTGAACCGATTTGAATGAAATTTGGTAAGAAGATTGTTTGAGACCCTGGGAAGAACATAGGACTTTTTATCCCGGAAATCATCCTTTAAGGGGTTGAAAATGGGGATGAAAGTTTGTTTTGGTAAGCAAGCTAGGGACCTTGATGATCTCTAATGATCAAAAAGTAATTAATTTTTCTTCTACTTTGTAAGGTATATACATAGTTATTGTTCTATTATTATCATAAATAATTTATATAGTTTATTTAATAGTGTCAAATCAGATCAGGGACTATAATAAACCTTTTAATGGTGTATCTAATAATAAGACAATCTGTGCCATAACTTATTTTATATTATTTTATTTGGGAAACACTGTATTTTATTATAAATATTACACAAACCAATAGTTTCCACTAATTTAAACATACATATTGTAACTAGACAAAAACAAAGTTATTAAAGAAAATTAAAATTTATGGAAAAAGAGCAAAAAAAAACCAGGGTGCGTGAGGATAAAAAAGCAAAAAAAGCAAAAAAACGTTATGTACGCACGTAACAAGTTATACCACCTTGGCGTAACAGAACAAAAATAGCTAAAGATTTAAATAATTTTAACTCTGTTTGTGAAAGGAATGATAAATTAATGAAATAATTAAACAAGGCATTTTAGACATATTACAATTATATAGGTATATAGAATATCATCTAAGGAAAGAATATAATAATAATATTATAAATCCTTTGTCAGACAATAACAACGGTTACCATGACAACGAACCGTTATCAGCTAACTTTATCTTGTGGCTTTTAGCTATCTTCATCATGTTGCTTTTGGCTGTCGGTGTGCGCGCGCATCGTAAAAATTTTATTCTCATATTTTTTCCAAACATCCCCAAAAGAAGTATAACTTCAAAAGTATATAATTAGCAAAATGTCGTGCCGAGATATGGCGAGTCAGTAGAATTTTATTTAATAACTTATAAAGAAATAATATATCTTTGTCCATTCGACCAACCCAGTAAGGAGGGCAACATTAGGTGGCTTTGGTTTGCGGTAGAGAATTTATACTGAAGATACTTTAAAAATCTGTTTTGTACTCTACGTAGATTTTCAATAAGAGTTTCGTAGCTAGTTTCATACTATCGTACTCCAAAATAGGTCGCACAAGTCATTTATACAGTAGCAATCTTTCTGGAATCTCTCACTCGCTTGGGAAACCGAGTGAAGCGAGTTCAAATCCCGGGTCTCGCACCCCTGATATTTTCACGTTCGAATCATTTCTAACATGATTACCACTTGCCTTACGGTGAAGGAAAACATCGTGAAGAAACCTGCATATCTAAGAGAACCTAGAAAGTTTTCGAAAGACATGTGAAGGTCCGCCAACCTGCACTTGGCCAGCATGGTGGACTATGGCCTGATCCCCCTCATTTTGTAAGGGAGGCCTGCTGGGTACAAAAAAGGGCTGAATACAATCAATATTTGCAGATATCTTAGTAAAACTTAACATAATGACACACAAATTATAAATTTCTTTCGATATTTTCGGATTTTTTCGCGGATCTATTAACATAATAATAAGTTAACGTGACCCTAAGTTCTAAGACAAATTTTCATGTATCGAGGAATATTGTAATAAACTTGTTTACCTGTTTAACAAGGTGTCGACAGCTGTAGTTGAGCCGTACAACGCAGTACTAACAACCCACGCCACAATAGAACACTCGGACTGTGCATTTATGGTTGACAACGAAGCGATCTATGAAATCTGCAGGCGACGACTGTCCATCGAACGACCCTCGTATGCCAATCTAAACAGACTCATATCACAAGTGAGTATATCATATTTGTAAATATTTTATTGGTAAATTGGCTTGCCACATTTGGTTTAGACAAAGTTCGATTTTGTTCTCCGCCATTGAAAACCCATTTTCCTTTTTCCCAAAAAAGATTTCTTTTCATATTCATCGAGACGTCGAGATGACTCCAACTAATATCACCCCAAGCAAGATCCCTAAGATTTTTTTTATTTATTTATTTATGTACCAGAAAAAAATACAAGTAAAAACAGATACCAAAGGACTGTGTATGAAGGAATGTGTACAAAGGATGACTTATCTCTTTAAGAGATCTCTACCAGAAGCCCTCAAGCGTGAGAAAATATAAAAATAATAATGCGGTGCGGTGTAGGTACAAACTACAAACATCAATTATTATAAATACAAACATACATACATACGTACATTTACACACATACATATTACATACATTTTCTTCTTCTTCCTGCCCATTTCCCAATCACTTGAGGTCGGCGCAGTATATCTTCTGTACAGCTAATTGGATTTGGCAAAAGTTTTACGACCGACCGGCCGCCTGCCTGACGTCAACCCTCCTTGGGAATATTACATACATAGATGTACATTTATTATTAATCGTGTTTCTAAATTAAAACTCTTTTGATTATATTGTTTAGGTGGTGTCATCGATAACCGCGTCGTTGCGCTTCGACGGCGCTCTGAATGTGGACCTGACGGAGTTCCAGACGAACCTCGTCCCATACCCGCGGATACACTTCCCCCTCGCCGCGTATGCGCCGGTTGTCTCTGTGGATAAGGTAGGAATGTTACAGCTATTACTTGTCTGTTTGTTCTTTTAATGTTGGGAACTGGGGGTTATGTGGGTTTTGTCGATTAGAAAATTCAAATTCAAAATATTTTATTTAGCATTAAATTATTACAATTTTTTACTGAACATCATGAGTCTACTACCAGTTCGGAAAGAAGAAGCCTCAGACCTGAGAGGAACTGGCGAAAAAAACTCAGCGGGACTAATATTATTTCATTATTATTAAATCTAAGAAAATATTATTTCATTATTTTTTTTATAAAGTTATAAATAACAATATTTCTAGAAAATTAGCCAGTACTATCCATTAAACTCAAAGGATCTTCCCCCGTGTTAATAGGCCGTCACAGGATCGCTTACGCACGATATCCCGATAGCTTGGTTGCCGAGGCAGACCAAACAACCATGTTGTTGATGCATCGCGGTTTTGGGTTAACAAAATACATATATATACATTATCGACATGACAAGCGGTTCTCAAATAAACTTGATCGTTTGACTTTGGAGTCTTATTTTGATGTAATAATAAATTAATGAAGTTACAAATTGTATTAAATAAAAATCAAATGTCACAAGATAACCTGTCGGTCTCCTAAACATCTATTGAACATCAATATTATTAAACATTGGTCATGTCTCACCCCAAACACACTGTTGAACATAGGCCTCTCTCATTAAATATTTACAAAGAACAAACTCTTACTACTTATTGTATGTACTCGTATATATAAATCTTAATGCAATTTGAATTCTTTGCAACATTGTAGATAATACTACCTATTACATATTTATAGTGATTAGCTTGCAATGTGTAAGACTGTGAGAGTGTATAATTATCCAGCATTCCATTTTTAATTGAGTAACTTTAAAGACTTATAATTAATGATCGACGACCTTAACGTGATTCTATTAGATCTAAATCTTGTTTAAATTGTAATATGTACCTAGTTAGTACTCGTACCTGTAAGAAAATAGGTCTTAAAATTGTTTCACATTTTATGGTCAGTTTTAGTTAAAATTCTGGTCGTCTGTCTATATGACGTAACGGCCATTTTACTCATCCGAGTATATTTTTTATATTGCAATTATTCTATATTTTATTTTAGTCTATATATATATATATATTACACTAAGATATAAATGAACCTTTTTGCTAACCAGCAATAAAATAAAAGATAAAAATCATTATTGATGTTATATTTGTTTTGGCACTTTTGGAAAAAATATGAGAGTAAAATTTTTACGATGCGCGCGCACACCGACAGGTAAAAATCGACATGATGAAGTTAGCTGCATTCCTTTTACAAACAGAGTTGTGACATACGGGATGAAATCTTTAGCTATTTTTGTTCTGTTATGCCAAGGAGGTATAACTTTTTACGTACTTACATAAGTACACACACACGTTTTTTTAGTTTTGTTACTTTCAATGTTGTTTCTTAAATAAAATAATTTTAATTTTGGCATTTTCAACACAATACCAGGCTTACCACGAAGGCATGTCGGTGTCAGAGATCACGGCGGAACTGTTCGAGCCGCAGAATCAGATGGTGAAGTGTGACCCGCGCAACGGCAAATACATGGCGTGCTGCCTCCTGTACCGCGGTGATGTCGTTCCCAAGGATGTGAACGCGGCCATCGCCTCTATGAAAGGCAAGGCGGGCATCCGTTTTGTGGATTGGTGTCCTACTGGGTTTAAGGTAAAATAGAGGTTTAACAAAAATAAAATGAGGGTTTTTTTGTTATAATAAAGGTAATAAACTTTTAGTTTTAAAACATTTATATAAGTTTGGTGTCCTCATTATCCAAGTTTGCGACCTTAGTTGACCACTGCTTTTGTCGCCAAATAACAAAAGGATACTACAAGATCTTGCAAAATTGAGCTTATCTATACTCTATACTAATATTATAAAGAGGTAAAGTTTGTAAGTTTGTGAGGTTGTGGGTTTGTGAAGTTGTAGGGGGTAATCTCTGGATCTATTGAACCGATTTAGATGAAATTTGGTAAGAAAATAGTTTGAGACCCTGTGAAGGACATATTATACTTTTTATCTCAGAAATCATCCCTTAAGGGGGTGAAAATGGTGATGAAAGTTTGTTTGGGAAATCAATTCTCATTGTAATAAATTGTCAAATTGTAATAAACTCTCTGGTAAAGTATTTATCATTAAACCCTGATAAAACAAAATTTGCAAGATTTAAAAAAAATTAGATATAGCTATTTTAAATCTGATTAAAATAGATTTTTGATGCCATTTTTCCAATATGGAATCGCTTGCCATATTGCCAATCATATTCCAGTAAATTTTTCTGAGTCCAGCATTTTGTTACAGTCTATATGTTTATTTAGTAGCCTTTCATCTAATAAATCCATACTAATATTAAAAATGTGAAAGTGTGTTTGTTTGTCTTTCTTTACGTCGAAACGGATTGACAGATCGGCGTGATTTTTTGTGTGGAGAAAAATGGAAGGCTGGAGAGTGACATAGGCTACTTTTTACCGCGGGAGACTGTCTTATTCCCACAGGAAAACATATAACCCAGAAAATAATTATGATCAGAATTACTTGAAGCTTAGTATTAATGCTGTTCAATACAATTAAATAAAAACGTGTTTCGATCCTATTCGCCCAATATGCAATAGAAAAATCTTGTTTTAATACGCCATATTATTTTTTATTTATACACTTTCCGTAACTCCTTGAGCATTTTTTGACTCGCAATCGTGAAATTTTAATCGGCTTCAACCATGTGCTACTTTTATGTGCTTTATTTATTTACTAGCGGCTCACCCTCGCTAAGCTCGGGTTTGTCGCTAGGTACGTTTTAAATAGATTGTAATTTTTTTCGTTAATTTTTCATTTTTTCTCTTTAGTAAAACCTTCCGTAAACCTTAAGGAACATACCAAAAAAAATTGGTCGAAGGTCTGGAGAGTGACATAGGCTACTTTTTACCGCGGGAGATTAATTGTTTCCCACGGGAAAACACGTTATAACATAACCCGTAACAACTCATCATACCTATGCATATCCGTATTTTTTAATATTATTAAAATGTGAACGTTTGTGAGTATATATGGATGTTTGTTACTGTTTCACGCCAGAACGGCTGAACGGATCTGAATGAAATTTGACACAGAGATAGATTATAGTCTGGAATAACTTTTTATCCCGGAAAAGTTTACGATTCTCGTGGGATAGGTTTGTTTTCGTTTTGCTAGAGTCGAAAGTGAGCGAAGCGAGGATAGCCGCTGGTATATAATATATGGTCTATTAATACCATACTAACCGTTAACACGTACCTAGGGACGTACGCGAGTGAAGCGAGGGTGAGTTGCTAGTTATATAATATTACCAAAAGTTCCCACATTCTGGGCGTAGGTGGGAATAAACTACCAGCCGCCGTCGGTGGTGGCGGGCGGCGACCTCGCGCAGGTGAAGCGCGCCGCCTCCATGCTCAGCAACACTACCGCCATCGCCGAGGCGTGGGCCAAGCTCGACCACAAGTTCGACCTCATGTACCATAAGCGCGCCTTCGTGCACTGGTCAGTGGCTTGTTTTCTATACTTTATAAGTATATTTAATATTATAAAGAGATAGTTTGTTTGTATGCTTGTTTGAACGTGCTAATCTCAGGAACTACTTATCCGATTTGAAAAAATCTTTTTGCATTAGAGTTCGTTTTATTGTGGAAGGCTAGCCTAGAGGATTATACATCATCATTCTACTGCCCAAGGGAGCGGAGCCAGTAATCATAAATATCAACAAAATTGGGCAGATTTCCATACATCATTGTAAATCTCATGTAGGTATATATCGGAAGTTTGACGGTTTATATTGTAACAGGTAAATAGCAGTTTTTACTGGCATGCAAGACTAGATAGTGCCCGCAACACTCTACACATGTTTTAGGTGTTTTGATGAACAGTAGCGTATTATCGAAGCCCGACAAAAGTATAAGATATGTATGTAAATGTGTGAAAAATACACACTTAATAGGTACTTATTCTTTTTACACAAATAAAAAAAAAACGTGGACGTCTTGTGTTTATTTTATACATCTAAAAAACATTTAATGGACAGATTCGACTCAGATGTTCTATACATCTGAGTCGAATCTGTCCATTAAATATTTTTTGGAAAATATTATTGAAATAGTCATTATTATTGATACAGAGACCGAATTTATAGTTTTTAGAATATTTTTCCACTTGTTCGTCTGTCTGTCTGTGACCGCATCACGAGAAAACCACTGGACAGATTTTGATGAAATTTGGTATGATGATAGCTGGTTATCCGGGTCAACATATAAAACAAATATCTCATCTCTGAGAAATCTTTAAAACACAAGTAGGGACTAACCCGAACAGAGCGAGGGTGAGTCGCTAGAAATATAATAAAATTTTGAGTCGAATCTGCGAAATGCAAGGGTTGCCAAAAAATATAAATTTCCATGGACCGTTTCAAAGTTGTCAACCCTAAAGCTGTTTCCCGTATTTCGTATATAAGTTTGACAATCAGTATCGCATCTCATAACTCATGCCATATCTAGACGCTTTCGTTAGAGATTATATGAATTAGTAGACTGTGATTAGAGTTTATGTTAAATAAAGTACTGATAAAACAGGTACGTGGGGGAGGGCATGGAGGAGGGCGAGTTCACGGAGGCTCGGGAGGACCTTGCGGCACTCGAGCGCGACTACGACGAGGTAGCCATGGACACCTCTGATATACCCACAGATTGCACCGACGAGTTATAACGCTACAGATAAACAGACAACCCTCTACCACGGTCGGGGGTAGCAGGTTTGATGCCGGCTCGCGACAAATGCTTGTATTACCAATACAAATTTGTTGCGGTCTGGCTGTATGTGTCTTGTGTTTGACGACCTCTGACTTGTGCGGGTTTTTGCTAGCGTCTGGATGTATAGAAAATAAGCAATATTTAACATAATTTTATGATATCTTCAATAGCAAAACATAATAATACAATAATAATACAATATATACAATGTATTCATTGAAATAAAAGGTTCAAACGTGTCATTAGATATTTATGGGGTTTCTAAAGAATTCAAGGTCAATGACGACGAACCATTTTATAACTGCGCGAGGAATTTTATTCAATAGATATGGTATTGCCTCATTACTATTTTGTAAGCCAGATTCTTATCCTCTGTTTGAAGACAAAGTTATATATCCGGTATTTTTCTATAACCTTATAAGAGTGTCGGACGGAAGTGGACGCCACAAAACCGCGGCGGCTTTATATACGTTGATTATTGCAGAACTGCGAAATTGTTAAAGGTTTGAAAATGTCCGCCGAAATCTGACGCTCTTGGTATGCTTTAAACAGGTTCATTTATATTTATATTTTTTATTTAGAACGACTCTTAGTTTATCATTAAGACTAGCTTGGTCAATTTAAAGCGCCATCCCGGATTTCAGCTTAGATTTTGTATACATTGTGTGGTGTATTTGTAAGCGTAATTGTTTTGTCCTGTCTGTGTGAAAATTTTGTAAAAAGTTTACTGTGTTTCGTCTGTTTTTTTTTTAATAAATGTGTTTATTTCTAACCTGTATTTTTTTGTTCCATGGAAGTAATAGTTATTGATTAATAGAATTCTTAAACATTATAGTCCACCACGGCTTTTTTAATGATAATAACAATGAAAAACTTTTGGCACTAAAATTGCTATTATAAATATATGCGAATATTATATAATATAGAATAGTACCTGGGCCACTGAGCTTCGCTCGGAGTTTTTGGTTAAAAAGTACAATTTTTTTTTAAATAAAAGTAAAAACTTTGTATGTGACCAAGATTCGAACCTGGACACCTGTGATTGCTGATTTTGCACCTTGGCCGCTTGACCATGATGCTTATATCCCAGCGTGCGAAATTATCGAACATAATATTTTGCATGGAATAATGCAAAAGAAAACCGCATGAAAATTCGAAAACACGCGTTTTCCCAGACATAAGACTAACCTAGATCGATTTATCGCCCCCGAAACCCCGTGTATGCAAAATTTCAGTCATATATATATATATATAATATATATATCATATAATATATGTCAATATATAATCTGAATCTCTATATATATGGTGCCAATATCAAAGATTGCGTTGTGTGTTACCAAACTTACTGAAGGTTCCTAAATATGCTTATGCAAAATTATATTTTTGTTGATTTATTTGGATTTTATATTTTGTTGACTTAAATAATTTATAAAAAACTTACATTTTTTGTAGTAGTTTTTGTTTTATTTCCTGAAAACCTTAAGTGTCACTTCCCCCCTTCCCCTACCCTTACACTTCCCCCTACTTAAAGTGTACCCAAAAATTCCCGTCCCCGCCACACAGTTCACTATAACATTTGAGCCTCTCAATTTTTTTACCTGCTCATTTGAAAAAAAATAATAAACACGACTTACTATTATTACAATGTAATAGAAAAGAAATAAATAAATTCATATACTTACATATGCGTTGTAACATTCATACTAATGTGAGTGTGTGTTTGTTTGTTTGTCCTTCTTTCACGTCGACACGGAGTGACGAATTGGCGTAATTTTTTGTGTAGAGATAGTTGGAGGGCTGAAGAGTGACATAGGCTAATTTTTATCGCGCGAAATTAATTCATTCACACAGGAAAATACGCTATAATACAACTGAAAAATTATTTATGATCAGAATTACTTGAAACTTAGTATTAATGCTCTTTACGATCAAATAAATATATGTTTTAGCATTTTTTGAATAAAATGTGAAAGTTTGTATGAAACATACTTTTTAGTATTTTTGTAGTTTTAGCGCGAGCGAAGCCGCGGGTTCTGCTAGTATGTAATAAATATCGCGAGTCCAATAAAAACTATTTAAAATAATAGGTATATTTTTAATTGGCGTTTTTGTAAATTAGCATACTTAATTAGTACTAATTTAAGATGATTATAATTTTTAAAATTATGTCGTATACAAAGCGCAAGATTGACAATCATAGGTGTCAGGGTTCGAGTTCCGGTTGGATATAATTTGTTTTTGTTTTTTTTTTTGTATTTATTCAAGTTTTTAGTTTTTCTTTTAAATAAAATTGTAGTTATAAAAAAACTCCGAGCGAAGCTCGGTGGCCCAGGTACTATTTTTATAATTTAAGCAACGTTTGTCTAATTAGCGTCTCAAAAGCGTTCTCAAAAAGAAGTGCATAACTCCAAATTGTGCGTTTTTATAAGTTTTATTTAGTATCTCCTGTCCCGGTCTATGTAATGTACTATGTACTTCTCAGAATCTGAGCTGTTTTGCTGCTACCATTTTTAATACAATATGGCTGGCGGATGTTTCAAAATGGCTATTTATCGTTTTCATAGTGATCCTTATAATATGAACGAAAAATATTAAAAAAAATGTAATTTAAAAAAAAGCTTTTATTTAAATGCTCTAAACAGAAGAAAATAAACTTTACACTCCACAATTTATATGTTAAAAAAGCTTGTCGCGAGATTTTAAGTACGTCAGGTATGTTATATTATTTCAAATGCTTATAATTATTATAACAATATGAAGAGAGTCATAGATTATGAAACAATTATAATATAAAAATATTGTTAACTCTAAAAAACCACAAAGACCTTTATGATGGCGACTGTATAAAAATATCATCAGTACCACCTATTTACATACATACATAATTCGTTGGCTTACTATTACAAGGTTCTATGTTAATTTTAATGAAGTTTAGTAATTTTTACGTAGAACTTCATTATTTTGTTATCGTAAAAAAAACAACATATAACTATGTAAAATTGAATATTTTGTAGTTAAAGTGCCGCTATCTAGTGATTTGTTTTTCAAAACTGTAGCTAATGACACACAGAACCTTGTAGCATTAATAACTAAATAAGTACTAAAATTGTAACATAGAATCTTATAATAGTCAACCAACAAATTATGTATGTATGTGAAAATTTCGATTTATATAAATACTTTGTCCCACAATTCTAGTAATATCGATCTTTTGTACCGTTTAACCTTTTGTAAAACATGCATTTAACTTTTTATGTTAAAGGTAAAATAAAAATACCATATCTTTAAAATCACAATTCACTATTTAAAACACTGTTCAACTTCTTCGTCACTTAATTTCAGGAGTCTCATAGATTCTTCCCAAAGTTTTATCCCTGTCTTCTCGTTATACGCAGATTTTTTAGCACTAGTGAGCTTGCAATCTTTAAAGAATCCTCCAGTCACATTTCCTGCTTTCTTATCCAACGCCACATGGAGCGTAGTCTGTGCTCCTTCCCATGGGGTTTTGAAAAACATATAAAATAAAGTACTTATAGTGTACCCGATAATTGTTCCAACGCTATAAAAAATTCCCGTCCCCACCGCCCCTGGGTCCACACAGTTCACTACAACATTCGAGCTTCTTAATTTCTTTACCAGCTCATTTGAAAATAAAACTAAACACAACTTACTATTACCGTATAGTTGAATTGAATAGTAATGCTTTATATCATTAAGTTTTTTAAAATTGATTGTTCCAATATTATGGAGGACAGACGAAGTGTTAACGATCCTGGCCTTCTCCGAAGGTGTACCAGATTTCTTAAGAAGAGAGAGCAGCAATAAAGTGAGTAAAACGGTTCCAAAGTAATTCACTTGCATAATAAAACTCATGCCGTCATCTGTTATAAATTCTGACACAGCTCCGACACCTGCATTGTTTACTAAAATATCCAGTCTTTTCTCCCTTTCATTTATTTTTTCTGCAAATTTTCGTATCGACTTAATTGAAGAGAGGTCTAATAGTTCAAAAACGACATTATCACTTTCTGTTTCTTCCTTTATAATTTTTAAAGCTTCTTCTCCTTCGTTGATGAAGGGGCACGCGATGATGACTCTAGCGCCCCGATCCGCCAAGTCCACAGCTATCCTCAAACCCATGCCAGAAGTGCCTCCTGTCACGATGACAGTCTTTCCATCTAATCTCTTCTTTGATTTGCATATTGCGTTAGTGGATTTCTGATATAAGCCCGTAATTAATGTCACTATTATTATGGCACAAACTATTAAAAGTATCGCGCTCATCTCCGTGTGCTTGCTTCAATGGTTTCGAACGTAATACTGAGAGTGTTTGAAGTGTGCTATATTATAAAATTTAAAGTTTACACATACTTTGATATAATACACGTGCTATTTATGTTATTTATTATAATCTATACATATAATAAAACTGTAGAGGTGGAATGTCTGTACGTAGAAAAAAAATGCTAAAAAACGTATCAGGGTGATGTAAGAAAAGAAATAGAACAAATTCAGTTTTTTTTTGTTTTGTTTCTTTGTCTGTGTCTGTTTGTGTGGGCTAACTTCCGAAACTGTTGGACCGATTTCAATCAAATTTTGAAAGGTGATACTTTATGTCCCCGGTCAACATTTTAAATACTATTCATCCCGGAAAATTAAAGAGTTCCCGTGGGATAGTTAAAAAACTATAGTAACTTATACAGCTTAGTACACAAAAGCTAATGATTGGATTTTAATGAAACTTTAAAATAATATAATTCATATATCAGAATAACAAATAGGATACTTTTTATTCCGGAAAAATGTACGGTTCCCGTGGGATAGATTTGGTTTTGTTTGTCTAGCTAGTGGCAAACTCGAACGAAGTGAGGGCGAGCCGATAGTATTATATACTTCATGCTTCAGCGTGCTATATTATAAAGTATATTTTTTTAAACATACTTTGAACATTTGATACTAAACGACCTTTATTACTCCTCCTAAAGAGCTGGACCGATTTGGATGAAATATTGTGTGTATATATCAATGGACTCTTGTATGGTTTGAAAACACAATTAGACCTGGTAGGTGTCGCTGCTGTCGGTGTGTCAAAAAGTTTTTTTTTAGTAGGTTAAACGCGGGTGAATCCGCGGGTATAGTACTGCTAGCCTATATACGGGGTAATTTTTAATTTACTGAAAACCTTTTGGGAATCTACTATTTACATCATAACAACGACATCTGTAAGAAAAAAAGTAGTATTTCTTAAATTTTACAGAAATAAAAAAAATTTTATTGCACTTTCTAAACGGTAATAGTCCAGCATTAGCAAAAGATAGCGCGTTGCCGGTGGAGGGGGAGGGGTGGAGGTAGGTGTAGGAGGAGGCACTTTCTCATTTAAACTTGATCAGATGCTAGGACAACTACCGTTTAGAAGGCGCAATAAAAATATTTTTATTTTGTATGAAAATAAAAAAATTAAGAAATATTTTTTTTTTCTTACAGATGTTGTTATGATGTAAATAGTATATTCCCAAAAGGTTTTCTGTAAATTAAAAATGACCATGTATATAAATCAAAGTCGGGTTTGTTACAACACTTATAACTCGAGAACTGAAGCACCGATTTTTATGGTCTTTGTTTTGCTGGGTTTGTCTTCACCCTGAATAGCAGAATAACTATTAAAACATCGGAATATATCATGAAAGAAAAAAAATGAAAAGAAATAAACTTTTTAACAAAAAATAAAAACCGACTTCCAGGCACTAAAAGTAAAAAATAACTAAACGGAGGTTTTTATTTAGAATAGATACCTAATCAGATATTTTCGAAGACGGTGCCAGCCGATGCAAAGCAAATCTAATATATTTATTGTTGATTTTTTAAAAAAACCGCTCTACCGATTTCGATAAAATTTATATGGAACCACCTGGGAAGTATAACCTTTGAAATAAAAAAAATCCCAAATCGGTTCAGGCGTCTTCGAGTAATCGGTGAACATTCATAAAAAAAAAGATTCCGACGAATTGATAACCTCCTCCTTTTTGGAAGTCGGTTAAAAATCAATTCCATACTAAGCGTTAAAACGTTTCTAGGATCAATCTGAGCGAAGCGAGGGTGAGTCGCTAGGAACTATAAATTAGTAGTAATTAATTAAACGATAAGTCTACTTAGTTCTAGAAGTATACTAAAGTAATGTGTTATTATTTCTGCATTATAAGCAGATAAGTAAATAAAGTCTATAAAGTTTTTAATCTATAAAATTTGTAACTATATAGTTACGAATTTTGTAAGTTTAGCATACATTTAATAATTCAGTCTTACAAATATGAAAACAAATTTAAATATATTACATACAAAATATTTTTTTTAAATATAAAAACGGCCCAGTGCATGTCGGGCCACGCGCAATGTAGGGTTCCGTAGTTGCCTATAGTAATAATGCGGACTAAGAAGAGGGTTTTTTATTGTTTCATACCATGAACTGTTAACATTAACGGTTTCGGCGGCCCATAACGTTTAAAAACGATGAGGATGTTATCATTTTATTTGTGTATATTTTAACATAAATATACAGTTAAATAAAATTGATGTGTCTGTTTGTAATATCAAAATAACAGCTTTTTACGAAATGCATATGAATGTATACATGGTACATATACCAAAACAACATTTTTTATAATTTTTGTCAGTCAGTGCCATTAAATGAACTAGTTTTGCAGTTTTATAGTAACGTGAATAATTTGAGATGTTTTAGCGCTATATTTAGACCCTTAATTAATGAGTAGGCCGTGCCCCTATAGTGGGGACCTTTAGAATTTGATGATGATACTTATTTTGATTTACGATGAAATTTAAAATAGTGATAACAGCCCCCGACGGATTTTTTTGGGTTTTTTATTAAGTTTATAGATTTTTATTATGTTTATTAAATATAAAATATGTTATTGCCACATGTACAATCATCGAGAACCAAATAGGTACGTAGGGAAATGCTATGAAAACTGGTACTCTATTGTTTACAATTTTTTTACATTCATTATCTCGCGTTACATTTATTTTTTAAGTCGAGGGTTTTTAAATTATTTTATCCTTTTTCAATTATATTTTAACCGTCGTAGGTTTTTCAAAACTTTTAATTTTGCTTTTTAATTTAAACTTTTTAAATAGCATAGATATATTGTACATAACACGCCGCCCCGGGCGTTCGCCCCAATGACCCTATGGAAGATACGCCTCTGCTACAGTAGTATAAATAATAATAATAGTATGTCCATCAGATAAATATTCGCAAACAAACTTTGGCTTGTCTTCTTACCAAATTTCATCTAAAAAGGTTCTGTACATTCGGAGCTTATTCGGTACAAACAAACAAATAAACAAACAAAAAATCTTTCCTGTTTATACTAGTAGTATAGATGTAAAATTATTTTGAGGTTGATGACACAGACATTATTAACAGTGTGATGTCGTCATTTATCGTATCGCAATAAAAAATTGTAAATACATAGGTATATTCAAGTGAACATTAAATCTATTATTTTCAGATTGCTTGATTAAACCTGTATGCACTGCACCTTTAAAAATATTTATAAGGGAAGATAGGTAACTGATTTAAATTTTAAAAGTCATTGACTGCCCGCTGACCTAACGCAAACGTTTCATTTGAATTCACGGAAAACGTCCTTCAATGACTTGGCATTGAATATATTTTTATACATTTACTAGCATTGCACACGGCTCCGCTCGCGTTCAGATGACCAAAAACCAAATCCTTAGGTTTTACATATTAGTATACTCTTACAGTGCAGTTTTTGTATTTTTTCTCAGAAATGAGATATTTTCCCGCGGCAAAAATTATCCTATATGTTGACCCGGATAACCAGCTATCACCATACCAAATTTCATCAAAAGCCCTCAAAAAGTGGTTTTGCAGTGATGCGGTAACAGACAGACAGACAAAAATTCTAAAATCTATAGATTCGGCCTCTGTATCGATAATAATGTTTATTTCAATAAGATTTTCCAAAAAATATTTAATCTACAGATTCGGCTTACTTACAATTTTATTATATGTATAGATTATACAATTTCATTTTAAATTAACTTTGCGTAGCATTTAGGATAACAGTATACCGATATTATTAGTGTGTTAGAAGCAAATTCCTATGTATTTAATTATAGTTTTCCATACATAATATCATATTATAAAGAATATCCTTAACATAACTTAAGTCATTTATATATTTTCATATACATTGTTACGTACTTATGGTCCTGATTTATAGTAGGTAGTTGACTAAAAGCATAATATAATTAATTCTTTTTTAGATTTACGCGAATATTTGACATTTTAAATAAATCTATCTTTTCGGATTATTTCGCGGATTTATTTTGAAATAAATATTATTATTTTAAAATAGATCCGCGAATATATAAACAACAAGGCAGTAGCTACTATAAAATAAAATATATTAATAAGCATCCTCTAGTGAGCTACTATCGTAACACCTATTTAAGAACCCTCACTAATCAACAACAAACCCATTACTGAAAACCGCATCAAAATTGATTTAGTAGTTTTGGATTTGCACGAACAAATGTTTTCTGCAGCGCCCCCTGGCGAGTTGCCATCGTAGCACCTATCTAAGCACTTGCACCAATCAAACCCGAATCCATAACTGAAAACTGCATCTAAATCGAATACTAGTTTTGATGAAAACTGAAATATGGATTAGCACAAACATCCTCTCACCCCAAACGCGTAATATACTGTCTCCGTTCCGTCGTGAGTAATAAATTTTAAATAAAAAAACAAAAAAACATTAAATATAGCATATAGATAACCATAACGTACATCATATTTGTATGTTATATTATTTCAATTGCTTATAATTATTTTAACAATGTGAACAAAGAATGGCATAGATTATGAAATAATTTAATCATACATAATATTATGTAGGTAAAAATTTTGATGTACATAAATAAGAACTAACGGCAGTGGTAGCCCAGTGGTAACGCTCTCGCTTGGGAAACCGAGTGAAGCGGGTTCAAATCCCGGGTCTCGCACCTCTGATATTTTCATGTGCGAATCATTTCTAACATGATTACCACTTGCCTTACGGTGAAGGAAAACATCGTGAGGAAACCTGCATGTCTGAGAGAACTTAGCAAGTTTTCGAAAGACATGTGAAGTCCGCCAACCCGCACTTGGCCAGCGTGGTGGACTATGGCCCGATCCCCCTCGTATTGAAGGGAGGCCCGTGCCCAGCAGTGGGACGTTAAAAAGGGCTGAATACAAA